ATGTCACATTAAACTGTTTTTTCAATGACACTGACACGAAATAGTATTTTATAAAGAGGTTATCATTTCAAGGGTCGATTCATTATGACATTATGTCATCAAAACACTATCAAACTAAAATTTCGACCTTATTGCATTATGAATTCTAACAACATTTAGTGGAAATGGGTCCCATATTTAATTTATAGACCTATCAATTTTATAGACCTATCCATACCCCACACGTAAAGATTTGATAAAAAAAAAATCTAAGTCCATTCGTTTTTTTTTCTATTTTTGTATGAATATCGTTTTTTTGCCATTTGGCTACGGAACCCTAAAAATGGTGAGCAAAATAACTAATTGGTCTGCGTTTTTGTTGAAAATTCGACAATATACGTTACGGCCGTCTACGTCTGTTAGAAATTCCCGTCTAAACGGGCATTGATAATATTGGGAAATTATTAAGCTAATAATAATACGCTAATTTCAAGAACCTTACTAATTGCCTGATAACTTTTTGATTTGATCTCATGTATAATTATAACAATAAAACATTTTGTTACTATTTAATTTTAAACTCATTGTATCAGAAGTTGCTTTTTTTTATTTCGATCTCGATTATAATTTTATTATAATAATAAATACTTAAGCTTGAGCATCTACTGAGGTAGTGTACCAAGTTAATTCGTTTACATTTTTGATTATTTAACTCAATAAAAATTTATAAGAATTAAAATTGTTTTTTATTAATTTTCACTTTTATAAATAATACATACCCAAACCAAACAAACACATCCACTCAGACAGTAAATAAAATTTTTGTAAGGATGGCGCCCAGTTTGAGCATGACAAGTACAGAATTCCATTTTCCACTGCAATGGAAATAGTGGGACAAATGTTTCCTCCAAATTATTACTTATTTCTATTGCGGTTAAAAAACGCAGTTGTCTTATTTTTAACCCGGCGTTCGCACAGTTGGGTCTATTTGACCCGAGCAGTTTTCAAATGAGCGTGTTTCTTAAAATGTTTGTGCGACTTTGCCAAACTTCTCAGTAGCTGGAGCTAATGGTCCCCCCCTCCACGTGGGATTTGCCATTCAGTCGTGTTGCGGCCGCAGCGAGTGATAGACACGGCCAAACATAGACCGGGAGATGATGACACAAAATACTTGGTCATTTGTACCAGTATGGCGGTTCTTCAGGGGTCTAATTACGTAAAGGCAAAAAGGAAAATGATGGTCATAGCGCTCGCACCGGCGGCCCAATCTCGTGGGCGTTAATCGAACGCGTCGGATAAATAACGAGTGTCGAACGATTTGTTCCACAAAAATGCTTATATTTTCAGATAGTCGAAAAAAAGAAGTAGGCGGTAGCATAATGCCATACTTCTCGGGTGTGACTTACAGCCCGCCATACCGACGCGAATACATTAATTTAAATAAAACAATTCAACCATTTGTACCAGGCTAATTTTTGCACAGCTAATCATCGTCGAGTAGCCATTCACGAAAATCACCTTGCCATACTTTTCCGACAGTTCCCAATGGCCGCCATACCGCTGCAAAGGAGTATTTTTTTTTTTCGCCAAACGATTTGTACCACCCTGAAACTTTTTTTAACAGTTCCCCGTATGATCATAAATAGAAGTCTGATAATGCCATACCTGTGGGAGGTGGCGAATGTGAACAATATTTTTTCAAAGTCCCAAGATTTTATTCGTAATTCGAACGATTTGTACCAGTATGGCGCCACTTTTTCCCTCTACTACAAGTATGGCAAATATAATAATGGTCACATTGTATCGTATAATTTCCAAAAATCCAAATGCCATACTGGTACAAATCGTCAAATTTTTTTTTCTTTTTCACCTTTTAGCTCAAGTCCGACAGTCATCCGCCCCATGTTTACAATCTGTAATAATTTTTTTTACGTACAATTGCATCCAAATGACGAGAATACAATGATGTCATGATGTAAAAAATGATTTTACGTATTTTGCAGTCGTATTTTTAAAACGTGTCAAATAAATAAGTATTTCAAGTATGGCAGCACTTTTTCCCCCTACTAGAAGTATGGGAAAAATAATAACGGTCACATTTTGCCAAATACTTTCCAAAAATTCAAATGCAATACTGGTACAAATCGTTTGGCGAAAAAAAAAAATTACTCCTTTGCAGCGGTATGGCGGCCATTGGGAACTGTCGGAAAAGTATGGCAAGGTGATTTTCGTGAATGGCTACTCGACGATGATTAGCTGTGCAAAAATTAGCCTGGTACAAATGGTTGCATTGTTTTATTTAAATTAATGTATTCGCGTCGGTATGGCGGGCTGTAAGTCACACCCGAGAAGTATGGCATTATGCTACCGCCTACTTCTTTTTTTCGACTATCTGAAAATATAAGCATTTTTGTGGAACAAATCGTTCGACACTCGTTATTTATCCGACGCGTTCGATTAACGCCCACGCGATTGGGCCGCCGGTGCGAGCGCTATGACCATCATTTTCCTTTTTGCCTTTACGTAATTAGACCCCTGAAGAACCGCCATACTGGTACAAATGACCAAGTATTTTGTGTCATCATCTCCCGGTCTAACACGAAAAAGGTAAATATGACCCAACCATACTATTCGTGTCGTAATTTTGCGCCGTTTAAAAAAATGTTTTATTGTTGTTTTATATTGTTTATTTTGTTATTTTTGGCAAATATGTCTGAAATAAATGCGTACATATTACATAACGCCAATTTCTAAAGAAACTTAAGCCTTATACTGGTTCGTGAGCATTTGCGCAATCGTAAAGATGTCATTCAGTTGCTAAGACTTATACGCAAAAGAATAAGAGAGTTTTTAGGAGTAGGTACCTGATGAGGAGCCACCTGTGAAGATACTTTATGTAAGAAAGAGATGCCAAGACTGTTCTGCCAAAAAAGATAGAAAACTAATAATTTTCGGAGCTGTATATGCAAATACATCTGCAGTGACCATGCAATGTTGTACTGCCGAGATTGCGCAGATGATAAGGATACTATGACTGACGTATGAGACTGATACAAATAGTATAATATTATTAGTTTACTAAAGATTTGATTAACATGTAACAAATTAGTTTATGTTAAGTATATAAAAAAAAATGTTTTGTTAAAATTTTATTACTTTAAGACAAAGGTTGTCCATTTTGTTAATATTTTGTGACACTTTTATGAAAATGACATTAAAAAGATAGTTTCGTATCATGTTGTGTTTTTTTCTACTCAAAACCTATAACGATAATCGTTTTATACAGATAGTACAACCACATACCAAATTTATTTTAACTTTTGTAATTATGGCGTTTTCTTATACGGGTCCTCTCGACCCAACCCTACTGTCGTTGATGCATATTTTGACTGTGCTGACGCCGGGTTAAATAAATTTCTAAGGAGATATTGAGAATTTAATCTATAGAATAAAATAAAAACATAACTTCTCGTTAATTATAAAAATAATGCATCTTCCATTTCTACTACTCGTGGTGACCTACACGAATGATTTTCTGATAGATTTTTATTCCCTTCTCATCGTATTTATTCCTTATATTTAGCCTTTGTTTTTAGTTCATCCTTTCAATCACGTAGTAACAAAATATGTAAGCCCAGTGCATGATCTGCGTAGATACATAATCATTGACGTGTTCAGATATTATTGAAAAGTTGTATGTTCAGATATTATTGACAGGCATCTGCTCAGATATTATTGAAGTAATGAATGTTCAGATATTTATGGTCACTTGTAGCGTATAGAACTTAATGACATTTTAACTGTTCAGATGTATTTGGTCACCTTGTATGCTCAGATATATCTGATGGCGACTGTATAAGATTAATCTTATACAATGCTTTTATATCCTCACAAAGTTCACAAACTAAACAGTTTCTAAAAACCTACTTAAACCTATTTGATACTTGATTATTGTATCTAATCCTATAGGGCAAGTAAAAAGACATAAGATATAACCTTTATTGGGAAACTTATATCTATAAATAACTTATTATCGAAGGAAACTATCTCTAGCTTTATGCCTTAATTATGCCTATAATCCTAGTGTGATCTATATAAAAGTTAATTATTTTTATTCCTTCAACTCCTATTTCCTACATCTTTCATCGATATAGACAAAAATAATAACAATTAAAACATATTAAGTAAACAATTTTGAAGGCAAACCAATCTTAAAAAGTCTTACACATTGCGACTCTGCGACCTATGGTTGATTGCCATGGCAACCATCTATCGAAATTTGTTACTGTAAATCCTCTATTATAGCGAAACTACGAATTATTTTAACAAAATACCATTGGAATCTTATTTATATGACTTATAACTAAACATACAATATGAAATAACACTTATAGATACACTTTTGCGAATGTTCTCAATTTTTATACTGTATTAGTGGCCCGCCCTCGCTGCGGTGCGGTGTAGAGCTGTAGTGTAGATTTAAATGACTTTTCATATAAGTAATTTTAAAAAAACTGAAAATGGTATATTTGCCTTTTCCAAACTTCTATTGACATGACGTCGCTCAATTGTTTTGCCTTCCCAGAATCACTCCACTAACATTTGAAATTTATGGTATGGTGTTAAAGTTCAAATTGACTTTTAAGTATTATTACGAATCGTTTGTATGGGAGTATAGAAAAGTGTTGTTTTGGACATTTTCAGGCATTTTTTTTATTTTTCTCTGCGTAAGAAGCAACCTCGTACTTCAAGGAATATTCTTAAAAAAGAATTATCGAAATCGGTTCAGCCGTTCTCGAGATTTGCGCTTAGCAATACATTCAGCGATTCATTTTTATATTATAGATAATTATATGAATTCCATACATTTCATTATTATTTGAGTTTCTATAATATCATCATGTTAAGGAAGGTCTCTTCGCATTGCACAAATTAAACTGGCTGCTCTTTTGCATTCGATCTATTGTTTGTGTTTGCCACATAGATAGAAGCGTGAACCGGTGTTTTTTGTTTTTTTGCAGTCCCTATTAGAGCAGCGCGGCGTGCAGCCGTCTCCGTCCGGCGCGGGCGGTAACGGCGGCGGCGCGGCGGGCTGCTGGGGCGAGGAGGAGGAGCGCAAGCCCAGGCCCATCGGCACCGAGCGCGCCTGGAAGCTCACCGCCGCCGACGACTGGCAGCAGCTGCAGCTGCAGCACCACCTGGCCGGCGCCGACCACGACCGCGCGCGATACCAGGTCACTAACGTAACATTACTGGGGCGAGGAGGAGGAGCGCAAGCCCAGGCCCATCGGCACCGAGCGCGCCTGGAAGCTCACCGCCGCCGACGACTGGCAGCAGCTGCAGCTGCAGCACCACCTGGCCGGCGCCGACCACGACCGCGCGCGATACCAGGTCACTAACGTAACATTACTGGGGCGAGGAGGAGGAGCGCAAGCCCAGGCCCATCGGCACCGAGCGCGCCTGGAAGCTCACCGCCGCCGACGACTGGCAGCAGCTGCAGCTGCAGCACCACCTGGCCGGCGCCGACCACGACCGCGCGCGATACCAGGTCACTAACGTAACATTACTGGGGCGAGGAGGAGGAGCGCAAGCCCAGGCCCATCGGCACCGAGCGCGCCTGGAAGCTCACCGCCGCCGACGACTGGCAGCAGCTGCAGCTGCAGCACCACCTGGCCGGCGCCGACCACGACCGCGCGCGATACCAGGTCACTAACGTAACATTACTGGGGCGAGGAGGAGGAGCGCAAGCCCAGGCCCATCGGCACCGAGCGCGCCTGGAAGCTCACCGCCGCCGACGACTGGCAGCAGCTGCAGCTGCAGCACCACCTGGCCGGCGCCGACCACGACCGCGCGCGATACCAGGTCACTAACGTAACATTACTGGGGCGAGGAGGAGGAGCGCAAGCCCAGGCCCATCGGCACCGAGCGCGCCTGGAAGCTCACCGCCGCCGACGACTGGCAGCAGCTGCAGCTGCAGCACCACCTGGCCGGCGCCGACCACGACCGCGCGCGATACCAGGTCACTAACGTAACATTACTGGGGCGAGGAGGAGGAGCGCAAGCCCAGGCCCATCGGCACCGAGCGCGCCTGGAAGCTCACCGCCGCCGACGACTGGCAGCAGCTGCAGCTGCAGCACCACCTGGCCGGCGCCGACCACGACCGCGCGCGATACCAGGTCACTAACGTAACATTACTGGGGCGAGGAGGAGGAGCGCAAGCCCAGGCCCATCGGCACCGAGCGCGCCTGGAAGCTCACCGCCGCCGACGACTGGCAGCAGCTGCAGCTGCAGCACCACCTGGCCGGCGCCGACCACGACCGCGCGCGATACCAGGTCACTAACGTAACATTACTGGGGCGAGGAGGAGGAGCGCAAGCCCAGGCCCATCGGCACCGAGCGACCGGGAGACCACCAGGTCACCACCACAACATTACCAGGGAGATACTATCACAAACAGATTAGCCGGAACGATATCTTAACATCAAAATCGTTGTAGTAAATTTTGTTACTACTTCTTGATCGCTATGCTTTTTTCAAGTATTATACTGATTTCACTGAGCGATATCACCATCCTTCAATATCGAGTTTTGTATGTGATATCTCATCAGGCACGTAAAGTATTATGCTATAACACGTCGGTGCATTTCATGTGACACTTCTTTCGTCAAGATTTTAGAATAGCAATAGCAAGCGAGTCTTTATTATTTATAAATTTACAAAGTTCGAATTCCAACCCTTAGCGTAGCTTCCGGTTCGAGCCCCTTTTTAAAGCGCCACATTGTTGTAATACAACTCGTTATCTGCATTTCCTAATTCATAGTTTCGATGTACTCGTGAGTAACGTTTCTTTTCTGGCTATGGCCAGCAGGCGAGCATGGGCGTCCCTCACGAGCTGCGCCTAGACGGCGCGTACGGCGCGGGGGCCGCGGTAGGCACGGCAGCGGGCGCGGGGGCCGGGGCGGGGGCCACGGCCGCGGCCCTGAGCCTCATGCACGCGCTGCCCCTGCACTACCTGCCGCCCGCCCCCGCGCCCGCCCCCGCGCCCGCCCCGCCCGCGCCCGCCCCGCCCGCCCCAGCGCCGCCCGCCCCCGCGCCCGCGCACCACTGGGAGCCCGCGCACCACCACCCCGACCAGCAAGTGAGTACAGCTCGCTCGCTCCCTGTCTCTGTGCATTTCGTTCACCGCTCTCTCGCAGGCGCCACTCGTGCTAATAAAAAAAATGGTTGCCTGTAAAGTCGGTTTTACGGGCGAAGATTTTACGTGACAACGTCTTTTTCTCGGTAGAATATTTATTGATATGAATATAATTAAATTGCACAATAGGAACAAGGAATTGAATGAAAATAAGAATTGCACAAATTTTAACTATAGAAATATATTTTGTTTACTAAAACATTGTACATGTAAACTTAAACTTAACACGAGAGACTCATCGTAACGTTACCGAGCGTTACACTTTTTCATAAGTGACTCCCAGCCGCAACCTAATTTAAGACGTTGTCACGTCAAAAAATGTGTGCGTGTACTAGTGTACACACGTAAGAAGTGAAACTTCTTTATGGCCTTATTTTTCGAAAAATGATCTACATGCAACTTTCCAGAAATTGGTTAAATAAAGTTAAATTACATAAAGTTTAAACGAAAGGATTTTATTATCATAGACATGAATACAGATTACTGCCTATGAAACTGTTATGATTACACGGCTCAGTAATCTAAGGCACATGTTCCACCTCCGACGATGAACGATAAGCGAGTAGAAACTAGAAACGAATTGGCAGTCCTGAGTTATCGTCCTATGATATATAGTAGTATCGCTGAGCGAGTATCGCTGGGCGAGTATCGCTGAGGGAATATCGCTGAGCGAATATCGCTATGCGAGTTTGGCTGAACGAGTCTCATCTTTAATAACTATTGTCACTCAGCTACAAACGAGTAGAGAGAGTTCTCGCCGACGACAGTGTGATCATTCAGCTATCAACTATTAATATAAAAAAAGATGGCGCGTAACGGAAAAATGTGACGCGTAACCGAATAAAAATGTGACGGTAAATTTTTTTCCAACGCCGATAAAGAAGTTTCACTTCAAAAAGACGACTACACCTCGCTTACTTTCCGGTTGACAAAATATGGTGAATCGAATAGTATTACTGTGTACGATAAACGTATACGTATTAACTAATTTAAACTATGACATACTTTTCGCGTATCATGTAACACGGATACGTAACGGTTTTGCTTGCTAGTCTGGGGATGGTTTCTTATGCATATTGTGGAGAATAATGTAAATAGTTTGAAATTATTACTGCTAGACGCGATTTATCAGTAGTGATTATTGCCAGCCACGACCCAAGAAGTTAACGAATATGTTTACATTCATTTTAGACACAAATATTACTCGATTATCCATATTTTGTTCATCAGAGAATAAGTAAGATCTGACACCTTTGAAATCTAGACAAATAGAATATTTAATCTTAGAAAAGACGTAAAACGTAGACAGGGTGCGAACATTGTCAATAGTGTTGCCCAAATGCAAGAACAACACGAGACTTAGCAAGTCTTGGTCTTGCGCTCCCAGTCTTGGTCTTGGTCTCGCAGCAAGAGTTACAAGTCTTGCAATTACCTATTAGACTATTGCTTTTTATTAAAGTTTACTTTAGATCTTAGAAAAACGTATTAGAATTGGAACATTGTTAGCTTGAATTAATATAGCTAGAATAAATTATTATGACATCTACTTCCTATCCTTACCGTTATCTAATCATAATACTACTTTCGTGATCAGTATAATGTATTCGTTTCCATTCTAAGCACTCTGAAACTTTGCCCCTTCTCTTCCCGTGGGTGTCGTAAGAGGCGACTGAGGGATATCGGAGCTTCCATCCGCTCTGCTGGTGGTAGGTTGCCTAACACCCGCCTGGTTTGTTACCACCGTGCGCATGGTGAAAACCCCGTGAAGTGCTTCTCGCGCGTTTCGGGGTCAGCCAGCGTACAACCAGGGCTCGAGTGGAGGTTGTCGCGACGGATTCGGTCCAGGGCTAGGCATCCGTGGAACCGATGCCGGGAGGACTGCATCGACCCGCCGGCCAGGGAGACCCGTAGAAACGGCTGTCCCGCTGGCCGCCCGTGGCACAGTACAGGGGCCCGAGCGTTCCTAACCAGTTCGCGAGGCTGCCCCATCATGTCACGCATAATCTCGGGGTGGGGGGTCGTGCCGGTTGGTGACCGGGGCGTGGGGTCCCGGCGGCCACTCCCGGGGGGGTGCGGGGGCCCTTCCGCCCGGCGGGTCGGCGCATCTCCACTGCAGGCAATCATTCGGGGAAACATGCCTCCCTAATTTGCCTGGTCTTGTCGCGACAACGTCCACTCGTTTCACGTCTCTTTTTCACTTCCACAATGGCAGCTCCTAAAACAAAGTTTGGACGTTCAGCGGTGCACACCCCCACGCCTTCAACGCTGTTTGAGATCGAGTTCTGCAACATACGCGGACTCCACTCTAACCTCAACGCTGTCCACCACCATCTCGAGACAGCACGGCCAGCATTGTTGTTCCTGACGGAGACACAAATACTTCCGCCTGCTGACACAGGCTACCTTAATTATCCCGGCTACGTGCTTGAAGAGTCCTTCAAAACGAAAGCCGGTGTATGCCTGTATGTTCGGGCGGATGTTTGTTGTCGCCGTCTCCGCTGCTTGGAAGATCCCTCCTTCTCCATGCTGGGGGTACACGTCGACTCTGGCCCCCTGGCCAGAGTTTACGTGTGTCTCTACAGATCCCACACCGGCGATGTTGAGACAACTCGACTTTTTGAACACCTTAGTCGGGCAGCAGATGACGCGCAGGAACAATTTCCCAATGCAGAATTGGTGTTTTTGGGGGACTTTAATGCTCACCACAATTTGTGGTTAAGTTCCTCCAAAACTGACCATGCAGGGATCTCTGCTCACGCATTCGCTCTCACGCATGACTTGAAGCAACTGGTTGATCGGCCCACCAGGATCCCAGATATTCCAAGTCAAGCGCCTTCTTTACTGGACCTTCTGCTCACGACCCATCCACAGGGCTATCAGGTTGTGATAAGAGCCCCCCTGGGCTCGTCAGACCACTGCCTGATATCTGCTAAAGCACCACAGGCCAAGCCTCCGCGTCCAGCAGTGGTCAAGCGCCGTATCTGGCATTATGGGTCGGCAGATTGGGACGGTATGCGTGACTACTTTGCGTCCGTCCCCTGGAAGCTGCGCTGCTTCAGTGACAGGGACCTATCGGGCAGTGCCGTTGCCATTACTGAGGAGATTATAATGGGTATGGAATACTATATTCCTCATTCTGATCTCATCAGTAAGGGCACGCGTAACCTCTGGTTCAATCACGACTGTGCTGAAGCTGCTTCGCGTAAGCAAGCGGCATATCGTGCTTGGATCAGAGACCGCGCTCTCAAGGATCCCGCGGTCGATTTACTCAAAGCAGCCTACAATTTTGCTTCCAAGGCCTTTAAGAAGGCTTACATTAGAGCGGATGCCCAGCGCGTTGCACGTGTTGGCCAGGAACTTATGACGCATCCTACGGGCTCCCGTAGCTACTGGCGTCTGGCCAAGGCTGTGCAAAAGAACTTCTGCAAGCCCTCGCTGCCACCTCTGAGATGCCCAGACGGAACACTAGCCCATAAGCCGCAGGAGAAAGCCGATTTACTGGCAAAACTCTTTGCGGCTAACTCCCGAATCGATGATTGCAATGCACTGCCACCATCATTACCTCACTGTGGCACAACGATGCCTGATATTAAAATCAGGCAGCGCGAGGTTCGTGCCGAATTGCAATCACTCGACGTCCGGAAAGCTAGTGGACCTGATGGAATCCCAGCAGTAGTACTCAAAAAATGTGCAGCGGAGTTGTCTCCCGTGCTCACGCGCTTGTACCAATGCTCGTATTCTTTGGGGCGTGTGCCGGAGACTTGGAGAGATACCAATGTGCAACCGGTGCCCAAAAAAGGGGATCGCTCAGACCCGGCAAACTACCGGCCAATAGCAGTCACCTCAGTTTTATGTAAAGTTTTAGAAAAGGTCCTTAATAACCATCTGACCCGCTACCTAGAGGATCACTCCTTGATTAATGATCGTCAATATGGTTTTAGACCCAAAACAATCGACGGGTGATCTTCTAGCGTACATAACTCATATCTGGGGTGAGGCTATCGACAAGCGTGGCGAGTCGTTGGCTATCAGCCTTGACATTGCCAAGGCGTTTGACAGGGTCTGGCACAAAAGCCTTCTCTCCAAGCTTCCGGCATACGGTCTGCCAGCCCAGTTCTGTTCTTGGGTAGCTGATTTCCTGCATGAGCGTAGAATTCGTGTCCTTACGGATGGTAGCAGTTCGCGGTTCATGTCAGTGAATGCCGGCGTTCCCCAGGGCTCCGTCCTATCCCCCACTCTCTTTCTGCTGCATATCAATGACTTAATTCCTCTTGGGAATATTCATTGCTATGCAGACGATAGTACAGTGCATGCGGGGTATCTCGGACAAGCAGCGGCTGGGCTGGCGGTAACCAAGGAGAAACGCGAGAATCTTGTCATTGAACTCAATCAGGCTTTGGACCACATTTCCGAATGGGGTACCAGGAACTTGGTTGAGTTCAATGCCAAAAAAACTCAGGCTTGCGCTTTCACGGCAAAAACATCGTCATTCCTTCCCCTTCCATCTCTTCAGGGCACAACACAACCGCTGCAGAGCAACATTTCCATGCTCGGTATAGAAGTTCGCTCAGACCTGAATCCAAAGAACTACATCGAAACCGTGATCAAAACAGCTTCACGCAAACTCGGAGTCCTGAACAAGGTGCGGCGTTTTTTCACGCCCGATCAACTGTGCTTGTTGTACAAAACGCAAGTGCGGTCCTGCGTGGAATATTGCTCGCACCTCTGGAATGGCTCCGCCAAGTACTTGCTCGATGCTTTGGATAGGTTACAGCGGCGCGCGATCCGCATCATAGGCGATGAGGAGGTGACTAAACACCTTGAGCCTCTTCAATTACGCCGTGACGTGGCGTCACTAAGCGCATTCTATCGTCTGTACCACGGCGAGTGTTCTGAGGAGTTATTCTCTCTTATCCCACCTTCTCCTTTCCTTCAGAGGACCACGCGCGCTGGCCTACGTTGTCATCGTCTAACTGTGGCCACAATTCCAACGCGTACAAAGAAATTTGGTGACTCATTTCTTTGTCGCACTATCCGTAAATGGAATGCTCTGCCCGCTCACGTGTTCTCTCCCTCTTACAACCTGGGATCCTTTAAAAGAGGCGTGAAGAAGCAACATGCAGGCCGGCAGGGTGAAGATGGCTGGTGTGGCAGGTAAAACTGCTGTATCAGCTATCGTCACGTCTGGACTTCACCTTCACGTGGAGTCATTTGTCGGACCTATCTATAAAAAAAAATTCTTTGGAACAGCTCTAAAATTCGAAAAACGAAGTTCGTGTCGTACCGTCTCGCTCACTCATATATTAAATAGTATTAGCGTGAGTGGGACGGCACGACACGAAATTAGAATTTTGCATGAGTATACCTAGGCCCTGTGGCGGCAATCAGGTAGTGTCAAATGTTGTGATTTGGGCGCGGCGGCAACGATTGTTGTTTGTGATTTCAATAAAAGCCGCGCCGGCGCGTGTATCATCACCATGTACTTCCGAAAAGAGGCAAATTTCTTTGAGAAGTCAGTACAAAACCTTTGATGCCGCATTATCAAAGTGCCGATGGTTAAAACAAAACTATGCATGCACTCTGTTTGATTTTAATGGATATTTTTTTATTCGCTATGTATGTTTATGGTATTGGTCGTAATGCGCATAGGTCCAGTTTTTCATAATCTTTGATACAGTTTTTTGCGTCTCATTGAATTCCTAAGCGTACCTATACACCGAACTGTTATACCTAACTACTCCGTGAAATAGCGCTAAGTCCTAGCTGCAAGACGCAAGAGTCTTGCCGGATTAGTCTTGTTCTTGCTCAAGTCTTACACGGTCAGTCTTGGTCTTGGTCTTGCAAAAATGCAAGAACAAGACTGCAAGACCAAGACTGAATTTGGGCAACACTTAATTGTCAGTTTCGTACAAAATGAGAAGCGTCGTGTCCGTGCCCTGTCTTTTCTATACTTTACGCGACGCGACACGTCTATACGTTTTGTATGAGAAGGACGCTGAAGAGACATGTCCGCACCCCGCACAAACAGAAAAGACGCCTTTCCTGTCTGTCCCGCATTTTAGGTCTCCGATGCCTAACGTAGTAGATGGACTAGAAATCATAATGTTTTGTTGTAAATTTCTAGATTTCCTTTTCTATGAAAAGCTGAAATTAATAGTAAAGAAAAAAATAGCATTTGATTATAGAACAAACGACCCATACAATAAATGATTAATGTAGTGTTTATATGTATTGTAAACAGACTTGGAGCAAATGGAGCCACTAAAGGCGACGGCGAAGGAGCGGCGCCGCACTGCCGACCGCCTTACGCCGCCCGCGCCCGCGCCACTATCCGACGAGGATTATGTATTAATTGTAACCCTTGGAAACGGTGTAGATATTAGTGAGAAAGATTATATTATACAGATTATCTATATACATAATAGAGAAAATGTCCTATCGAGAAAATAACTACTTATACTGTACGATCGACTGAAGTGAGCATTAAACGATTGATTATAATGAAACTCGTGAGGGGAGCGGCTTGTAGTTTTATTTGCGGCGCGCGGCCGATGAGATCGCCGCCTCGCCGCTGTTGTCCGCTGCCCGCTGTCCGCATCCGGCGTACTGTTTTACACTATATTATGGCATAATACGATATTGATTTGGACGGTCGATATGCTCGCAGATCGAGACGGATTATTAAACGTGTATTAATAAATTTGCTTGTACATGAAGATTAAATATCATATATTGATGCACTGTATCCACTGGTGTTTTTAATAATACCACCTGTTTTCAGATAACTCTTTTTTAATAGGTTTATTTGGGTAACTTGTATATTTATAAGTAAATTATTATTATTGAAGACTTTGTCTCGAATATTATAAAACAACATATGCGGTAAGTTGTAGGCAAATAAACCGTTGTCAAATATTACTCGTTGTGTTCTTGAGTAGGGCATGACTTCTTGTACTGCGCATGGGTGCGGTGCATACGGGGTATCAGTGAAAGCTCATTTGTAAGAACGAATAATTAACCTGTATTAAAAAGAAATCGGTTATCGTAGAGATTTCTGGAACTTTCTATAATTAAAAATACCGTTCGCTTGTCAAAATGAGAAAGAAAACACTAAGCTCATTACAGATGGCGTTGAATTCGTCAGTCCCGTTTTGGGATTTTCTTACGAAATTCTATAAAATAGTCTTTTCAGTTTTTATAATAAAAGTAAATCAACTGCAAGGCTAAGAGCTCACGGCGCGATTTTCTCCAACGGCCGCCGCTGATGTGGGACCGCAACTCGTACTGAATGTGAAATTGCAGTTATAACGCAAAAGCAAAACCCACAGCGCAATTTGCGACCGCATAACGCGCGGGTGCCGAAAAAACTGCTCCGTTAGATCTTAACTGAATACTAAGGCTCGTATTACAGAATGACAACTAAATGTTGATCTTTTCTTGAGTACAGTTAGAAGGGGATGTCGGTAAGTGTTATATATAGCGACATCCCTATCTAACTATGCTCAAGACTAGATCAATCACTGAGAATCTTTCTATAATGCCTATGACATAAATTGAAGAGATGCGAGGAGAACGCCAAAGGATCGTAAAGTGGACCTAGTCGATAGGCAAGTAGCGCGGTAATTTAAACTAGAAAACAAGCTTTTTGACGTAATAACGTCTTATAGATAAACACCGGTTGCGTGCTCGAAAGAGTGTGACGTCATGTCACGTTGTCACGAGTTGGTTCAACGTTCCGCGCTGTGTGCAAGGTCGAGTGGTTTTTTAAATTAAAATGTTGCGTTTTTTTTGGTAGTTTTTTAAATGTAAAATCGGATTTAACTTCGTACACAGACATCGGTGTCTATAGGCATCATGAATCTCTTAACTTAAAACTAAAATTTACACCCAGTCTCTCCTTTTCATTCTGTATATGGAATGACAAGGATACATGTTGACAAAAAATAATTTTAGGTTTAGAGAATCATTCCAGAATCGACACCGTTCTCTGTAGGGACTATCCAAATCTAAATTTTATTGTTAGTGTTTGGTAACTTCCACAAAAGCGTACAATGCACTGTATAAAATAAAAATCGCTAATCATTTAAAATTAACTTTAATTAACATTTTCTGTATGAGATTCCTTAAACTAAATATTATATGATAAGGATTGATACAAAAATAAAGACTGTTATTACTACTTTATAACCTAATAAAAAAAATAACAGTAAATGCATTTTGGCATGATAATATATCTTTTCATAAACAATAAAAATTATACATACACTTAAGAGAAAAATTAACTAAGTATTTAGCAGCCACATTTTATTCGAAGTTTTAAGAACAGGTAAATAAATACCAACAAGTTCCATTGTGGAACTATCCTATGGAAAATTACTAAAAGAAAGTAAGTTTACTCTTAACATCGGTACGTTAATCGATGTAGTATGAAGTTCGTCGCGTCGTGTAGAATAGGACGGGCAAGGGTAATGATGACGATCACGATATATCGAAAGTCAACGAATTAACAACTTAATACAAAATGATGACTAAAATTAAACCCTGGTCTTAAACTGATGCTGACACAGCATTAAGTTTAAAGCAAAACTAATTATTAGGTCCGCGTTTTGGAATAAGGCGGAAAGAGTACATGCGCAGGCACTGTTAGAGTTCCGAGTGTCTCTGCAGTATGCGGCCCTCGATGTCGGCGTGCATCTTCTCCACCTTGCGCGTGTGCTTTTTGATCATCTGCTGCTCGTGGTCGAAGTGGTCCATCTTGTCACCACTGGCTGCGACCTACCAATGGAACAAGTATTAAGTTTCACTAGACTCAAAATGGTCTTTTCCAAATTTCATCAAAAACGGTTCAGTAGTTTATCCGTGAAGATACTTCGCATTATAGTATTAGTTTAGATGGTTGGCAAACAATAGTCGAAGCCTAAAAATAGTTCATGAAGATGCATAGTGACCAGCCAGCTATCCTTAAAGGAAAGTCTCATGGTTGGATGAAAAGTAGAAGCAAGTGAATTGAAATTTTTAGCTACCATTTGAAATGATAAATTGACTGGGCACTATTTGTTATCTTGATGCATACAATTTTTCATATCTCTTGGACAACATCACTGCTTAACAACAAGTTACAGTATTCTATGAAATAAATAAATATTTCCAACACATATCAATAGGGTGATTGATGACTATTTTTTTTTCTTCGTTTATTAGGTGATTATCAAAAAGTATTGAACACGTATTTTGGTTTATTTCACATAATATAAACATTGCAGAGATATATTGATTAGAAATGTCGCATGACATCACGTTTTGGTACAATTTTCACTTAAAAGTGACGTCACGAGCTCCTACCCCCAAACTTTGACGCGCTATAACTTTGTAATTTTTTGGTTGATTGCCCAAAGAAAAAATACCGAGTCCATTATTTTTTGATCATCTAACTGACGGACTAAATAGAATTTCGTTTACTGTACCCCGTCATCACCCCTATTAGCCTAGACCCAAAGTAAGCACTGTTATAGGATACTAGGGTAACTATACCGACATATATAAGTATATTTACATAGAAATACATATAAAACATCCATGACTGGAGTACAAATGCTCGTATTCATCACACAAACATCTGTCCCCACCGGGATTCGAATCGGCGAAACCATGAAACCCGCCGTATAAACCACTCGGCCACGGAGGTCTTCGAATTACTAGCTTCCGTTTACACCGCCGCAGAATGGAATAAAAGCGCTTTCTGCAACGAATTTGTGAATAGCATAATAAACTTTATGTCGACTGTATACATACAAACTAATAACAATCCAAAATCCTTGTCGCGCGTCTTTTGTCGTAGTTTTTGAGAATTCGCTGATATTTACTTTGTATGTTAAACAATTGACAAAGTTCATTATGTTATGTACATTTTGTTACAAAAATTAGCTTCCAATCCTCAGTGGTACAAATTGAGCCTTAATGATTGTATTATGTAAATGATCATTCTCTAATGTATGTCAGCCAAGCAGCACCACCATCTCAGATTGCTGGGTGCAAAGTCCAACTTTGTTGTGGAACAAAGTGAATTTATTTTTATAATAAAATTGACTGCTGCATTCATGCTCATGACAGGGTTCTATATTGCACTGATTCTGGTTTGTGAGCTTAAGGATGTGAGTGAGGAGCCAGGATTGAAAATAATAAATAAATAAAAAAACAAAAAATATAACCTTGGTAAGATGTTTCTCTACTTTGCTTACATGGTCAGCGTGCAAGTGCCGAAGTTTTAACAAGCGCTGCTCATAGTGCTGCAGTTCCACCTGAATTCAAATATCACTTTAGATCAACATTTAAGTACTTTTTTCTTAAATTCATATTTATAGTAAAAACAAGCAGAACCCACCTTCAAGGAAGCAAGTTCATCGACAGTAAAGTTAGATGCTGCAGCCATTTTCCACAGGCCTTGGACTTTGGGTTCAATGAACTCTCTATTGTTTGGACCTAAAAGAATGATGTAGAAACCATAGTTTATATATAAACAATAAATAAATCACTTTACACAATCTACATTTTTCTACTCCAATACCTTTAGCAGTGATCCTTTGTAATCTGTCATAACCATCCCTTAAACCCCGGTGTTTCTCCCTCACTAAGTTGGCCTTATCAATAAAATCTTTGCTAATCTCATTGGTTTCCAAATGGGAATTAATCTCATTAAATTTATCTATTTCTTCTTCATCAACAACATCTGAAATAGATGATATTAATGATTATTATTTGGCGAAAATAAGCTCCTCTGCTCAGGAATCAGGCTGGAACTGAATCCTGTGATGAGTTAGCTATTTTCTATAGAAATAAATTTATCAAAAACTAATTGAATGGAGATTGAATTAGACAAAGCTAAAATAATTCTTGTAATGTTCCTTAAAAATAAATATTAAACTCTATGGTGAACTACACATTACAATAAGTATAAGGAAAGACATATGATCATACTTTTATATCCATCCTGGGGTCCCTTATCTACATCTGTAAGCAGGTCATAGTACTGATTGATTTTATCCTGGTGGTGGTTAAATTCTTCCTTGAGAGCTGCCAATTCTTCACTTGTAAAACCAGATGTCTCAGCTTTCGACCATAAGTGATTCAATTTTTTATCTTTAAATAAACTTTTATTGATATGGTCATCTATTGCTGAATTTGATGCCTAAAATAAACTTTAAATTATTTTCATATATAGCTACATACATACTTTTGATTCTTATATAGTTCCAATAAAACTAAGTTTTTTAAGATTAAAGTTATTATGAGAGAGTAATATTACTGAATGCTCCTTCTGACGAGCTGCAGTGTCCCCAAAATGTTCCCGAAGACCATAAACTGCCATGATGTTGGTGAGCTTGCGTCTCAGCTCAGCCTCTTTAAAACCCTCCTTATCACCACCCTCACTTTTAAATCTTTTGAAGGTTAGTTCTTCCTTGTCTTGTATCATTAAGTCGCTATACAAAGATTTAAGCTTTGGTTCAGTTAGGCGCTATAAGGAAAGAGAAATTTTAAGTATTAATGGTGTATAAAGAAAACAGAAGCTGATGTTAATAATTAAAACTAGGTATGAGAGCAATATTTACCTGTTGCGCTTTAATCCACAGAAGATTTAACTTATTCATTCGAAAGGGTTTTTCCAAAGTTCTAAAATCAATCCCCTTGTTTTTCTTTTCGTTTGCATCTCGAGAATACTTGTTTTCGCAATAAATATTGGTTATAACTATGACCAGAATCAGAAACACAAAATCGATATGAATCGGCCTCTGCTTCATTATTCACACACTAAGTAAAGGTAGGTAGGTACTAAAAAGATCTCTGAAAGGCTGCTGCTTTGTAAAAGATTGCACTTTTATAATTTCCTTGTTTACATCGAAAAATAATAGACAAATACTAAAAAAACGACAGCGCGGTCATCGAGCAGTTGTAATTTTTTTTTACCTTTTTTCTCATCTTGGGAAAGGCAAATGCAGAGCCATGCAGCCATAGTCTTCATAAAGGTTTTTTTTTTGCGAGCAGTTGTAATGTCAAGACAAATTGACACTCTGACTTTGGGTGTATTCCGTAATATATACCAGTATACTGGCCAGTGCTAATGACGTTATAAATCGACGCTATACTGGTGAATTGTTCCGAAATAAACTGGCCAGTGCACTGACGTCATAAATCGACGAAATATTAAAAATAGTGCGAATAAAGATGATTTTTATAACACCTCATCAATTAAAGGGAATTCTTTTTGTAAGGATGCCATTATTGTTCCTTAAATAAAAAAAATGGGTGCGTGTACTTATGTAGGCGCTTGAGAAGTTATCCTTCTTTGGCATCGTTTAAAATTAGTTTTTAATTGCATGCAAATAATTAATTACAATAAATTAATAATAAGTCTGGAAAAGGACACAGTCCATAAAGTTCAGTTTTAATTTGAAAAAATAAATAAATAATCAAAATATTCAATTAAAATCGCTACTGAATATAATTTATTAGAACATATGTGATTTGCACTTGTATGAAACTCAAACACGTATTCCGAATATACAAACTAGAAACATGTGGATAAATATTATAAATATGAATACCTATAACTGTTACTTTATTACAAAAAATAAAGATGTGGTTTTTGGTTCTACTACACCAATGGTCAAGAGATGGCGCTGTAGTCTCCTGAATCGCGCTTTGGTTCCGTTGTTCCAAATTAATAAATACTTTTGATAGGCCTTCACAATGCAGTCGTTAGCACCCACAAAATAGAGATTCTATTTTGTTGGTAGATTTTCTTAATGTGCGGTAAACACAAAAGTAACAGCATGAAGTTGGTCGCTAAAGCTTCATGCTGTTAATTTTTCGTGTTACAGTGATGCGCGCGCATCTTAAAATTTCACTCTCATAATTTTTTCATAACGCGCCTAAAGAAGTATAACTTCAAAAGAAATTAAATTTGAATTCATCTCACGCACGCTCGATCATACGTCATATTCGTTTACCCGGTAAAAATATGGTAGCACACCAGTACAATTTGGCGTCGGATTCATGAAGTCATAACCACTGGCCAGTATACTGATGTATATTTCGGAATACACCCATGTCAATCTCACTTTGACAATGACATCCACAGAATACATTGGTGTCTATGCTGGCGTGATTCTCTAAACTTCACTAAATTCAACATCAGTCTCTCCTTTTCATTCTGTATAGAGAATGATTAGGATACAATGTTGTTAAATTTATGTTTGTCGATACCAGCAGCGCCATGTTATATAGCACCATATTTAATGACGGCATTAGACACTATACAAAATAAAAGTTAAAATTAATTTAAGTTTAGAGAATCACGCCATAATCGACACCATTCTAATTCCAAATTGAAAAGGAGAGACAGGGTAAATTTAGTTTTGAGTTTTGAGAATCATATCAGAATCGACACAATTATCTCCTTTTTACTCCCTAGTTTATGGACAGTCTGCTACATCAAAAGTGATGTGGTATATGCTAAGCAGGATATATAAAATGAACTGCTTATCGTAGAGCGGTGTCACCCTGACCCTCTCGACAGGAAAATATCAAAACGAAATAAAAAAAATTACCTACTTCCAAAATTAAAAGTTAGGTCTTTCTATTAAAAACATAGAGTAACCCAGCCGACACGGCTAGGGGGGGAGTAGCCATGATGACATAATACTACTGAAATTATTCTGCCGCTTTTGCGGGGGAACAATATGCACACAAATGCAGTCCAAAATACTTTCACAAAAACAAAATAGTAATTACGACACTCACACATAAAAAATACACCGCTAAATCGGGCATAGATGAAACTTGAAATTTTTAATTGACAGATCTGAAATTTGTACTGGCGAGGCGAGACGATTGTTTTGTCAAACAAGTCCGACGATTGAATTTTAATAAAATAATATTATACGTGTTGAAATATAAATAATATGTTAATAATTCTACTTATATATGTTTAACACCATCCTTTTGTAAGTTTAATATTCCAGATATGTTTCAAAGCAAATTAGATAACATTTTGGCATTTTTGATCATTATCATACACTCGCGCGTCTTGATTCACTTTTCTGAGTTTCGTTAATCGTAACCTATTTGTCTGTTCATTCTTTAGAATCTATGCACGGCTAAAGACCTCAGTAGTCAGGGCCGCTGAAACAAAAATCCAAGTATCTGCACAGATGACTCAGATTATATTTAAAAAGTTATCTGTGTGCTCAGCAGACACATCTCGAATCTCTGTAATCTGTGCGATAATAATTTCTTCGTTGACTTGACATAGTAGTTGGTTTTCTCTTGATTTTTAAGCAGTAAATCTAAGCTACCATATGAATTAGAGTAATAATTTGACGTAGCTAATTAAAATAGGAATAAAACAGTGCGTACATGTGTTATAACACACAATTTGTTATTAGTATTTTTCATCATAAATGGGAGCTCGTCTAACAGCCTTCCATCCCCTCCTGAGAGTGCATCTGTGACGGCGGACACGTTTGATTGTCAGACCATCGTTACTTTCTCTCGCGTACGTTTCGAGTCTATTACTCAATTTGCCGTTGTGTAAAACATCATCCGCAGGTCGTCGTCAATGTTCCTAACGGTAGTGTGTGACTTGCGAATGCTCATAACGGTCGTGTTGTAAGAGCGGAGTCATTGTATGCAAGACAAGGTGTGTAGTGTTATGTGCTCGGATCGTGTGTTGTGATGGTGGAGCGCGAGAGTATGCGGCGCGGCAGCGGCGGCGGCTGCGGCTGGGGCGGCGGCGTGCTCGGCCGCTGGTCCCTGCGTAGGCTACTCCTGGATAGTCCCTTGGTGGGCCGGAGACTAGCGCACACAGGTACGTTATTGTTAAAATCTTTTAACTTTTAGCCGGAATTGCTTGCTTCTTTTTGATGATTAAGCAGAACACAAAAAATGGAAATTACATAAAACCATTTAAATGCTATGGAATGTGATGAAATCAAACTCTGCTATCTATCAAATCAAAAAATATGCCATACACTGGTGAGCATTTTCATTACAGATTTATTTATGTTGAAGGAAAAGTGTTGACAACATAATCAAGGTGTATTTGAGGGAATTACCTGATCTTGTTCAAATATAATCCTTGCATTTTCTAATGAATTGCAGAAAGTAAAGATCATGGTATGTAGGCATATATATTTGAAACTTTGTTTATTTAGTATAACAATTCATGTTTTCATTTGTATTTGTATGTGTGTCTGAATGTATTGGTAGTGACATGATTTTATATAAATGTTGTTACTTCTGTTAAATGTTAAATTTATCAGCTAAAAAGATGCCCTGAATAAAAGGTAGGAAAAAAAAATGGATATACTGGTGATTCTAAAGAGCTTCAAATAAAACAATTTGAAAAAAGAATCATTTCATTGGCCACTACTGCTACTAGGTTAGGTATTATAATTATATTTATTGCATGTAAGAACTCTACACTAGTAGATAATAGTACTATTATTTATATTTAAATTTTAAACTTCATCTTTAAATTTGTTTATTAAATTGTTAATTAAATATCATGCTGCATTCATAAATCTAACAATATGAACCTGCACAGTCTGTTGTCCCGGTGTCCTGGTGGAAAGAACTGGTTCAAATCCTGTTGATGCCTGGACTGAGTGGAATTTTTCTGGTAAAAGGACATGGCTAACAAACTGCCCTCAACATGTATAATTGTTTCCAACCAGCCCGCAACATTACCATATTTGTTTATTAATTACTACATGTTTATTATTTCTGTTCCAAAATTAAAATGTTCCATTAAACAAAAATAAATTAACAATATGTCTACACAAAAATTAGAAAAAGTATGTGGTAACAATAATTCAGAACTCCTAAGAACTATGAAATACTTGGCCCTATTTTTCTTATAATAAATCACTGAAGGCTTAAAATAATATATTTTATTTTTCTGATTAGAGTTAAAACAAGGGTGTGTGAAAATTAATTCTTTGATTTTTGCAAATCACCTAAATAAATCTTCACAGATTTCCTGACAGGCCGACAACAACAAATTCTTTGTGTTTTTTTTTTGCTTCAAAAACACTCTTTGTGAAGTTTTAATCATAGAAATAGGATAAAAGATTCTAAGAAAAAAATAAAGTTGTAAATATTTGTCAATATCTTTTATCAAATGTAGCAAGGTAATAGGTATATTACCCTAGCGTAACAATTTCATATGTTCATATTCTAAGGTATATAGTAATTTCTTGCTATTTTGTGCCGCAAGAATTGATTTTGTTGCTCCAATATTTCTCTGAAAAACACCTGTTACCGAAATATTGACTGCACTGTTTCCAACAGTGCAGTGCGATGCATGGTTGGAAACGGACGTGCGCCACTGTGCCGTGAGAGGTTATTAATTCGCGTCTCACACGGCAACAGCCGTTGTGCGAGTGTACCACTATGAGCTCCCAACAACTCATAGCTAACGAACTGTTAGCATTTATACAAAATGCAATAGATACAATGGATGAGGTCAGCATCTTGCAGATTTGTAAATCAAGCTTTAAGGAAGATGAGGTATGCAGTGGTAAGGCGCTGCTCTTCCGGTCCGTTGGCAAGGCTGACCAGATGCCATCTCGCCGGAGAGATGGAACAGAAAAGAGTATCCAGGATATCATCACCCTGCTGAAGGAGACCGACCCTGATGACGTTCCGTCGTTCGTGGCGAAGGAGCTGCACAAGCTGCCCCCTGTCACGTTTGACCACGTTGACGTCACCAGGCTGCTGAAGGATATCAACTACCTGAAAGCAAGCCTGGCCGAAGTTGTAAGCAAATTGGAGGACTCGAATAACACCATCGGTGAGTTGCGGGCCCAAGTAGAGTTTTTAAGCAACACTGCTTGTGTAAGTAGGTCACCCGAATTTTCCAATGTAAATACACGTCGCGGGGCGCAAAATGCATCTGTCGGCAGTATTGAGTCGGCGCCTGCGAGTGCGTCACCGGCCGCCGTCACCGCGCGCAATGCCCAGCGCCCCGTCGCCGCCGCCCGCCCCTCCGCCATATCGGAGACGTCACGCGCTTGCACTTCGACACCGCAACGTGCCTACGCAGCTGCAGCCGCAATTCGACCTGCCGATGCCGCTCCGAAACCAGAGCGAATATTACAACAAATCGAGAAGAGTAGCAAACACAAACGTGCTACTCCGGCGGCATCACAAAATCTAAATTGTGACGAAGAAGGCTTCATCAAGGTGGAAAAGAAGAAGAGGAAGCCCGCTCGCCGCAACCTGTGTGGTGCTGCCCCGACCGGTCCGAACCATCTGTTGCGTCCCGCCATAGCAACGACGCCGCTGTACGTGTCCCGGCTGCATTACTCTACGAAGGAAGCGGAGATCGTAGAGTATCTGCGGATCAAGACGAAGTTCTCCCTGAGAGTCGCACGGTTGGAATCTCGCCATAACGTGAATTTTAATTCATTTGTGGTGAGAGTACCAACCGAACACCTAGCGAACTTTATGAAAGAAGAGCTTTGGCCGAAAGGTGTTGTGTTCCGGCGGTTCCGAGGCCGGATACCGGACACCATCCTGCGTCACACGTCGCCGTCAATACGTGTTCAATAAGTTTTTTACTATGTTTTATATCTGTATATATGTTAGACTTTAAGGTATGTATCTATGGGCCTACGTTGCCTGACTGTAAATTAATAAATAAATAAAAATGAAAAAATAAAAAATATTACTGTGGTCTATTCATTATGATGTCATACATATTTTTCAAACAGTGTATTTTGCCTGTGAGAGGCATAGTTAATAACATTACAAATTTAATAAAAATACATAAATTAAAATAATAAATTTCATTACAACTCAGATACTAATCATAATCAATACATAATAATAAAATTAAAATGTGTCATTCACAAATTCAAGTATCCTATAGTAACATTTTTCTATTAATATTGATGTCAGTTTCTTTTGAATCATTATAATAGGAAGTATTCTTATATTTTCAGGTATTTTCTTAAAAATAATCAGTGCCTGACCATAACATTTTTTCTTAACAATTGTATTGATACTACCTGTCAATATTAAATTATAATATTGTGATCGCATAGGTCTTACTCTGACATTAAAAATGATTTAAAAAAATCTGAATTTTATTTTACAAAGGGTCACCTATTTTTAATATGTAGGGTATTTCTCTGTAAGACAGGTCAGATATCAATGCTGTCCTTGTAATTTTTTTTTATTTGCATACAAATTGTGTTCTATAACAAAGGAAATTTGCAATTATTTAAGTTAGATAAGGAGGCCTACTGAATTTATACATATTTGCAGAGTTATTAGCGATTTTCCAAATAACCGTAACAGGGGACTGTTTGAGGCATCTGGGGATTAATTTAAACGTGACAGAAGACTGCTGTACTTAGATAAAAGGTCAGTTTATGTTATTCAATAATTTATTATTTATATTGCATGATTGCATATCAATAATCAAAGAAGTTTCTTTAGAAAAAATCAATAGAAAACATAACTTAATAACATTCATATCAAAAATTAATGTTAAATGTTACAAACTCTTTGTTCTTACTGAGATAAACATAGTTATATTATTAAAATATTATTCAGTAAAGGCTTTATTCAGTATTTATTGAATTACTTACTATTATTTATAGAATCGTTAAACTTTTTTCTTAAATATATGATATTTCAATCAAGTCCCAAGGTTTTTTCTTGATCAAATAAGGTACATAATAAAGTTTAACCAAAATAAACTTCACAGTAAAAAAATCATGCTCAGAAACATCTATTTTAGCTACTGGTATATCTAAGCTATTGAAATTATATTTTTTACTTGGAAACTGTTGGGTTTGCAGCTGGATATATTTGAACTGGAACTGGAGTGGGGGGTCTAAAAGGCTGAGTATCTAGTTTTGGATCTGATAACGGCGTATTTTCTCGTACAAAAGTATAAGTGACGCTTTTCAGTCTTAGTTTTATACAGTATTAGTTCTTTCCATTTCTTAAAGACAACTCTGTGCTCACAAGGTGCCATATTGTTTACTAACTTCTGCGAATCTTTTCTTTCTATATTGGTATTTCAACTTCTCCTTTACTCTGTTTTCTTCTCCCATTTGAGGGGTAATATTTTCTTCTTTGGTATGAGATATGATACAGAGAGAAACACCCGTATATGCAAGGTAATGTTAAAATTTGCAGCGACTTGAACAAAGGCACGCAACTTTCTGTAGGATTTATACCGCACATTGCTCGAGTGCATCTTTTTTGACCTCTGAACATTCTTTCCCTTTCGCTGCTATTCCTTTTATATTAGTATATATTATATATTAGTTTAATCATTGATATTGATCACATTAAAATATGATCAATACAGCTTCACGGAAATTCGGAGTGTTGGATAAGGTTCGGTAAGGTACAATTTTGTTGGACAAGACGCAAGTGTGGTCCTGTGTGGAATATTGCTCGCACCTCTGCGATGTCTCCGCCAAGTCAACTCAATGTGTTTTGCTCCATGCTTAGCAATTGGATTCCATTCATTAGATGGGTGGTGTTATTTGCTGCTTCTTAAAAAAAAAAACAAAATACTAAGCAAATACAGGTGTAATTATGATTCAGTAACAAACATACAAGTAAACACACAAAATTTCACATTTATAATCTTAGAAGAATACATAACGGAACATTTATGAAAAGAAACGATGTTGCATAAGATTTACACAACTTGTGTAGCCACGTCCGCCGCGGAGAATTTTCCCCTGGTCTCAATTCATACTAAACGAAACGTGTACGTTATCTATTTTGAAATGGAAATCAAAACTGCGCATTATTTACTGGTTCCGACTTCGATCAACA